GCTGTCATGTTATGACCGTCATCAAACCATCATCACCAGGACGTGTCTGTCCTCAGTTCCTCCAAGACGAGCTCTAATGGAGAGCTCTCCCATGCACGAAACTTTCATCTCTCACTTTGAACAACTTCAAGGATGTTTTTGGGCTGAGAGCAAGTAGCCTCCAGCAGGTGCTACTCACATTGGTGTCTCCCATGGTCACATGGCTTATGTTATGACCGTCATCAAACCATCATCACCAGGACGTGTCTGTCCTCAGTTCCTCCAAGACGAGCTCTAATGGAGAGCTCTCCCATGCACGAAACTTTCATCTCTCACTTTGAACAACTTCAAGGATGTTTTTGGGCTGAGAGCAAGTAGCCTCCAGCAGGTGCTACTCACATTGGTGTCTCCCATGGTCACATGGCTTTCCCCCACACACATTAGAGGTGCACAAATGCTGGCCAGCTTGTTCCCAGCAGCGACTCCTTGGTCTGTAGCAGAGACCGACTAATACTCTAGCTCAATGGCATAGCCAAATGAGAACACTTGGGTGGGCAAAGATGGGGGGCATGGGTAAGGGGGCAGGAAGCATGGGGCCACATCCCTCCCCCCACCAGCCTGATTGTAACTTCCCTGTGGCATTAATTACCCTTCCAGGTTTCAGTTATACCAACTTATCAATTTTATGCTAATAAACAAGCAAATCTAATTACCTTTCTTTGTTACCCAGCCTGCTAGCCTTGGTGTATTGGTCAGTAATTTCTTCTCTTTTTGTATCCTTTGGTTCCTTGATTGATTTGTTTCCCAATATCCCTATTTTGTGATAAGTTCCCTTTCACCCTTCCCTTTTGCTATAAATTTAATCCCATTCTGACTACTCTAGTCAGCCTGATCCCAAAAAGATTAGATGGTGTTCACCTCAGTAGAAGAGGGACCAGACTGTATACCCCCTCACCACAGAAGGTGGACCAATGTTGCACAAAGCCAAGATCGTCTACTTTTCACATACCTAGCCAACCCGTCACCTCCACCCTCTTCTTCCTTCAGCCTTCTTTCATTCATGAGACTGGAATGGTCTCAGAGAAGCTGCTTGGACATTCTTCATTTAAGATCAGGTTGGATAGACATCTATCAGGGATAATCTAGATGGTGCTTGGTCCTGCCGTAGAGGCAGGGGGATGGATTTGATGACCTCTTGAGGTCCCTGCCAGTTCTAATAGTCTATGGTTCTTCTTCAGCATGCTTCTGAGTTCCCTGACGTCATCTACTCTCTTGTGTGATATCTCATGATACAATATCATTGGTGCATCGAGAACCAACACCCATGAATCCTTAAGCCTAATTTCAGTTCATGGGATGAAGATGTGACAACCAAGCTCTTGAGAGAAAATTTTCTCTCCCACTTCAGACCCCCAAGCTACCCAGTTTTAGCCGTGTCTATACTATCAGCCACAATCAGTCCTGAAATGTCAGCTTAGTGGCTCTGATGAAGACATGCTAAGTCAATGGGAGGGTGCTTTCCTGTCCATATCTGTGTCCCAAGAGTGTTGATGGGACAGCATCTCCTGTAGACATTGCACGGTATAGACACCTCGGTAAGTCAACCTAAATTATGTCAACTCTTGTTATGTAACTGAACTGGCGTAACTTAGATCAACTTAAATGTAGATCAATTTACAGTGTTCGTGCAACTATCCCTTATCTCTGGAAAGTTACCACACCTTGCTGTTGTCCACCAGTGCATTGTGTAACACACACACACACACACACACACCTTCTGTATTTGTGTACTGTCCTATCAACAGGCACTGTGAGACCACTTAGAGAGAGAATGAGTCTGCTCATCAGCTTTAGCGGAAACCCAGCTGGCTTTTACCTTAAAGCAATAGAGGCTCATTGTCTAAGCTCCAACGGGCCCAGGTTTGGTTCCGCCTATCGGTATTACAATGGCAGAGTGCTCTTTCAACCTTTCTGAGTATTGACTCTACAACAAGGATCATCTATCTTCCTTGCATAACGCAGAGGCACAGAGACCACTGAGAGGAAGAGTGAAGTCTGCTTTACAGCCTTAGTTAAGACAAAATGACTTTTAGCTCAGTGATAAGCTTCTGGCTGTAGATTCAAAGGTCAGGGGTTCAAACCTGCCTTCTGACCTTCCGGGTCTGTCAGTGTTACTTTCAGAAGACTAGAGAACTAGACTGTCCAACTATGGTTTTGATTTTAATACAATAAAAATATCAGAATTTCCATTGGTAGGGAATTCTTAAATGTTCTTTTTTGTTCCGATCCAAAAGAAAAAATGACATTTTGTAAATTCCAATGGAACAGAACTTCTGGGTTCTGACCTGTCCTTGCTCTGATCAATATGAAAAGTTTTGGACAATTTGAATTCACAGAAATGTTTGGTAATTTGACTTTTTATCTTGATTCAGCACAAAGAAATGTCAAGGTGTTGGAATTGCCTGTGTTATGGAAATTCCATATTCCAAGGAGGGTCACATAAAAGGGATTTACAAAGACACCGAAAGGAGTTAAGTCCAAAAATTCCACAGAATTTTGCACGTGGACCCTTGGAAAACACCATTTATATCATCTACGATGCTCTAAGGACTTAACTAAGGACCAATTTAGTTCTCCTGTATGCACAGCCCCAAATCCCAAATGGGTATGTTGTGACAGAGCTGATGGAAACATAAAAATGTACATCTCCACATATGGGGAAGGAAAGTCGGGATGAGAGAAGAATGGAAGAAGTGCTGTGATTACACAATCTACATAAGGGCTGAGGGACCTTGGCATGTGAGTGGTCAAAGGCCTGGATCATGAGATGTAATTGCAGTCATTGTTTGAAGGCAAGTTTGATGAAACTCTTGAGGGCAGTGCAGGGAAATCTGTTCTCTCTCGTTATGTCTACACCCTAGAGTGAGCTTGGGCTCTGATACCAGTCTGGGACCAAGACCCTCTTCTCTCCACGCAGATATCAGTCTGAATTGAGTCAGCCAGCTTTCAGAATCTGGGACTTAGGACTGTACGTGAGGCATGGGTCAGAGCCTGATTCCTCTTGTGACTGGGACACAGCTTAAGCCACAAGCCCATGGAAGAAGTCCTACACAGTGTTGTGTGGACATGTTGTGTGGACAGGAGACCTGGGTCCAGCCCTTGTGAATGCTGATGCATGCAGAAGGAGTGGAAACATGGAGTCTACTGGCTATGAAGGAAGGGGATTGAACAGCTGGATTCAGTGACTCACATTGTCATAGGGCCCAAGGCAGGTAGGAGCCATGACAATGATCCAGGCCAATTCTCCTCCCTCCCTCCCTCCCCATGCACAAACACAGCCTCAGAATTCCTTCTGGAGTCTGGATTAAAACCAGTCTTTTACAAAGAGATCTAATTCTGCCCTAAAAACGCTCCACGTGATGGTAAATGAACAACTGCTCTAGGATACTGTTCCAGTGTTTCATACCCCTCACCGCCAGGAAACTGCAAGAAGAGCTGGATGCCTCCTTTTCTCACACTGTTTTTAAAAATAAATCGAACACTTTCCAAGAGATTGGGGGTTAAAAAGGTACAGTGCAATACAAACGTCATTTATTTTCTGATGTTAGGAATGGGCCGTAAGGCAAATATATAAATAACAGACATCAATTGCTCACATACATGGGAAAGTTTTTGTTACAATTACATTGAACAACAAAGAACATTCATTGCTCTGTCTGAAATCATCAGGAGGTTTTTTTAGCTCTGAGCGCTCCAAAATCTTCTTGTCGTTAAGTGTTGGGTCTTAGGACAGTGCACAAGGGCTGGAGGGCAGGTCCTTTAGCCCTTTCCATGAGCTTGGGATATCACTGAGACTAGAGATTACATGCCAGTCCTGTAGGTGGCTCTTTCTTCAGTTCAAAGGCGGGAGGCCTCCATTTTCCCATGCTCTGTACGTTGATATGATTTCTCACAACAACCCTAAATGGAGTTCAGGCCAAGAACCCTTGGCCACCTCATTCCCCAGTGTGCACTCTGTGTATTTTTTTCTGGGGTTTTCTAAAAAAAAATTCTAAGGAAAGAAGGCAGCCAGCTCTGACTGACATTCAGTGGAATTTTTTTTCTCCTGTCTACCTTGGGCTCATTTGAAAGTCTGAAATCACAATCCAATAGTGGCCACCAACGTGGTCCACAAAAGTAATAGCTCTTCTTTCAGCTTCTAGGTATCTCCCTACTCCTGGCCTACAAGGTCCTATGGGTCTTTCATTGCTGTAGTAACACACTCTTCAGGTGTTTATCCATGCTGACCCATAAGTTGTTCTCAGAGTCTTTGCCCTCCAGGCTAGACTCCCCTCTTCCAATGTGGTCTACTGAAAACTGCTCCATAGCCAGATTCTATCAACAGGGAGAGCTTTGTCCAAAGATCTCAGATGCTTTCTCTTGGGCTTTGTGATCACTGTCCAATAGGAAAGTGGGTATGATGGTGATTCATGAAGCAATATGCACACTTTGGCGTACCAAATATTTGATCCATGAAGGCCAACCTGTTGACTTTACTATGTTGACTAGGCAGTCATTTCATCTCTGACAGAGTATATTCTGCATGGCTTCCTTCACGTCTTTGTTTCT